AAATGCAAACTGAACTAACTTTCACCCCATTCCCTATTGGAACCTCACCTATAAGAACATTTCTGCAGAGTTTTATTAATGTCCTCATTTCCAATCATTTCATTAGGCTGTGGCCCTTGGTAGCTCCTGCAGGCGACGATTGCTTAGCCTGGCTACCTTCCATTTTCCTGCCTGCTGGTTTTCTATTTGGAAAGCCTACATTTTGTCCCCTTGCAGTGGGCAACACTGAAAAGCACTACCAGCCAAAAGAACACAAAGCATTTTGTCTATTCTGAACATAGTATTCAGAACCATAACTTTCTAGTGCATGGAGATCTCACACAGCTTTGGAAGCTCATGAGAAGTAAATATGAATTGCTGCAGAGAATAGGCAGCCAGCTGCTCAACAGGTTCAACCCTTTCATCTTATTAGGCTTTCATTTTCGATATGCAATGCTCAGAGACACCTCCAGCTCATATATTGGTAGCAGAAGGCAGTGAAGAAGTAGTGCTAGAATGTCAAATATGGTGCCTTAAGATTCACTAGGATCTGGGGCATGGAATGTAACGTCTGGTGCAAAAAGAAGTGGACATAAACATCAGCAATGCCACCAAATCTCATAAGAGAATTGATGGAAACTGCTACTAACAAGCTGTGGATTTGCGAGTGGCTAACCCAGGAAATGTATTTTTTTTAAAAAAATCCAGTTCTTAATCTTAACTACTTTTCTCTATTCCACATTTTATAGGGCAAAAAAAAAAAAAAAAAAAAGGCTCTTGCATTTCCATGTGTTGCAGTGAGTAGTTCATTAGTGCATTATTTTTTTAAAAGCACTTTCTTGAACTCTGTGACTGGGAGGCATCATCAAAGTACAAAATGCTGAAACGATGCGGCCTCATCCTGAATCACTGCTGAAATGAGCACCAGAACTGGCAGTCCATACCTGGAGGAAGCATAGGAAGAAGCTAGGAGAGGTCTCATTAACTGCCAGGTCAGATGAGATTCTGCTAAGCACCTGTTGGCAGAACAAAGCCGTCTGTAGGGAAGCATCAATCAAAAGTTCTAAAGTGGCTTCTTTTTGAGTTGCTGCCCTCTTGCTAAACTTTAGGGAGCTATATCCTCATAAATGTACAAGAACAAAAAATCGTGAGATCCCCAAATCAATTATTAAATGGCACAAGAGAACTGCATGTAGGATTTCTGTGGGTTTTTTAAAACCGAACAAAAGTAGTGCCTGGAAGGGATGGCTAAGAAGAGCAAAAAGTGGAGCTCAACAGGTTTATGTTTTAACCCCCCACCATTTAATTGTCAATCATATAAATGGGAAGGGGGGGCATTCATGAGTCAGTGTCCTACTGAGCATTCAGAGTTTTCAAAAAAGTTCCCAAACAACACTCATTTTGCCCTGATACTGAGCTTTAGTGAGCATGAAGATGTTCCATTCCATAATAATAAACAATAGTCAAAGGAACATCTTAACGGAGCATGGCGACACGATACTTGGAGGATAATTTATTGTGCATGGTGTGTGGTTTATATATTGCATTGCCATGACAACTTTTTCCCCATGTTGAATGGCTGAGCTGCAACAATGCCCAAAGGCCCCGATCCAACTCTAGGGCTGAGCAGGATGTTGTGTACGTGCAGCAATTGGTGGGGAGGGGGTTTTAACCTATGAATGGGTTCCAAATAAGCGTCACAATGTATGGAAATCTACATCCAGATGTGTCCCTGTATCAGTTACACATGCAGATGGTTGCTTCCATGTCTCCTTCTAGTGCTGAGTGACAGGCATTAGCAGAGGGAAAACCAGTTACCTCAAACAGGCAGCCTTTTCACTCTTCTGTCTCTTTGGTCAACTTGACTTTTGTGGCATTCAGCATGTGATAAGAATGTTTCCTTCGCTTCTGCCCCCCTTTGTTGAACAGCTCCCAGACATGAGACTGGCAAAGATCCCTGCTGACTGTGTGCGTGGTTACTAATATAGCAGATCAACATAGTTACTATTTTATCCAGAGGAAATAATAGCCAAATGCTTGTGTATGCTTTCCCAGAAGTAAATCCCAGTGCGTTCAGTTGATGCATAGGTTGAACTCCTAAACAAGAAGGAAGTTTTACAGTCCAACATATAAAATGCTGGTCAGCTGGGAAGGGCAGGTTCATATTTGTCATGCTGTCAAAGGATGAGTTGAAGCTGTACAGGAATCAACTTGCCTTTCCCAACTCACCAGGATTATAGATGTTGGCTTGCAAGACTTCCATCCTTTATGCAGCATCTTGCAGAAACTCAAGCACACAATAGTGATGCCCTCGTGATCTAGTCAGAAATTGAACACTTTCAAATTCTGTTGATTCCAGTGGGAGGAATTTAAATGTATGTCCTGGTCAAATTGTTTGAGAGTAGTCTAGCGAGGGTGGGATGGACACAGCCCTTTTCAGATAACTTCCTAGCACTTTTGTCTGGTTAATTGGGGAAAGAGGGAGAGGAGGAATTAAATTCTGCCTTCAGCACAAAGGCCAATTGGAGTCTGAGTTTGGCACAACATTCTTGTGCAGTTATATTATTAGTAGCTTACAGTGCAATCCTATGTATATCACTCAGAAATAAGTCTCATTGGGTTGCCTGGGACTAGGAATGAACAAATCAGTTCCATTCTCAAAGTTTCTCTTAAACTGAAATCTTAAATTCAGTTCTACATAGTCCTGCAACCTGTGATTTTTTTAAATAAAAAAACTAATAAAAATTTGTCAGCATTTTGGTATGAATTTCTCCGAACGAACACATTTTTGTATGCAGTTTTAACTAATATACACAATTTTTTTGCAAAGCAGTTTCCCCTGATAAAAAGCATTTGTGTATGCTATTTTCATGAATATATGCATTTTTATGCCCATTTTACCCTAGTATATGCTTTTCTGTACACATCACTTGACACCACTGCCCTGCAAAATCCAAAGTGTGAATCTTGGAGGATTACTGTTTTTCAGTTCACATATCGTTCAAAAAAAGTGCAAATTAGGTAGTTTAAAGGTGAACACAAAATGAATTGAATTCCTCTCGTTGGGGCTTACTCTCAGGTAAGCATGCATAGAACTGAGGCTGAGGACACCCAGATGCAAAGAGCTGAGTTAGAGCTCTGTAAGCTTCCCAGGGTGTTGTTTATCTCCCAAGACCTGACAGCAGAGCAGTGGGCTTTGGCACGCTCTTGGAGTGTTTAAGCTCAAGATATATATTTGGGAATGAATGTAAACATTAGAAAACAGCAGTAAACCCCCAGTGACTGACCTCCTCCTAAAGGAATCCAAGCACTATATCGCTGGACCTTTTCACAACTTAGAATAGTTGGGTGAGTGTAATAATATATTTTTGAAACGCATTTAGGAAACCATCACATGCCAATGAGTAGAGTGTCTAGGTGGGAACTGGAGCTCATTACCAAACAACATCCGGCTGCCATTTTGTTTTTTCTCACTCCAAAGCTGTAAAATCTAATAACCAGTGTTAACTACAAGGAAAAAAATTATCAGGAGCCAATCCCTGAGGCCAAACTAGGACCTGGTGGAAATTTTAATACAAGAAAAGAATTTTGTTAAAACATCTGACTGGCTGTTGCTATAGATTTCTATTAAGTATATCTTGATCCTATGACCCACACTGAACTCTGTGGAGTCCCTAATTCCAGCGGGAATTTAACCTGTGTCTATGTAAGAGAGAAGCATTACTGGTTGGGTAATATTTGGAAGATTGTTTCATACAGAAACCTTCAGAATAAGTAGGGAGTCTGCCATGAAGCCTTATTTGCTTCACTCACCTTTCAAATTGGTGCACTGTAGGACTCCAGCGGGAGGAAAAAGAGGGCAGAGGCAGGAATTGACCCTGGAATCAGACACCGCTGAGTTGAGCCTCATTTACTGAATTGAGAAAAACAGCAAGGAGAGACTTTCTGCATTACTATTTTCTACAGGGAAATTCATGTGTGTGTATATACTCTCTAGTAATCTTGAAAGGCTGAGTGGCTGCAAGAACAGCATCCTGTCAGGCTACATCCCTGACTATGTAAAGAATGGGTGGGTGGAACGTTCTCCATATAATAGTACCACTGTTTTCCTTAAGGAGTTGTAATGCAGCCAGGTTTCCTTGCTCTATGGTATGGCCTTTAGGAGAGGATGAGTTCTGGGTAAAACAAGCTACCCCTCCCCATCTCTCAGGAATGTTAGCCCTTAAAAACCACTAGTGCCAGTGAGTGTAGAAGAATTCAGGCCCTCCTCGGAAAGCCCATGAATACACTTTCCCAGAGGAGATCTTGCCACTCTGCTGATGGAAGGTGATTATACTGAGCTCATGCTCTATGCAAGCGATGGGGAACCTATGGCCCTCCAGGTATTCGTGGTACTACAGCTCCCATCACCACTGGGGCTGATGGGAGCAGAGACCAACAGGTTGGCCATCCCTACCTTAATGAAAGCCTTTTATCGTGTCCTCTTGCAACTCTCGGTCACTAGTACCATAAACTTGCAAGTAGCCTCCCTACTCACAATCCACCTATTTGTCATGTTGCCCTTGTGAGAGCTATAGGTCCCTTGCTTGGATCGTGGTTGATTTCAAAACCTCGGTACATGGTTTTTACAGATGTGTAATTTCTGCAAATGTGTAACTATTATGGGAAGTCTCCACTTCAGAGAAGTCTTGCAGAACAACACCCTGAGCACACAACAAAACATATTAAACTATTATTTCCTGCCAGGTTTGTGCAAATATTAACTAAAAGGTATGCTAAAACAGTCTTGACCAGGATGGTGGGGTGGCGGGGTAGTGCATTACATTATGGTCCAAATCCAAAGATGCTCTTGCGCAATAGTGCATTATGTGCTGTCAGCAGTTATTTTCCTGGGGAATTCAGATATGGGATATGCATCTGCAAAGAGAGAGCAGTGGGAAGCCTCTGGTTCTGCTTTTTCCATTGTTGCTTGTGCTGTGGGATCCTGTGTATGTTTGCAGATACGAAAAGTTAACAAAAAGTTAGATTATCTTTTGTATTAGTGTGCTTTGATGCTGGGAAAAGAATATACTGTGTTTAAAATCAAATCTCTCGCATTATGGCATCACTGAAGTTAGCCTCAAAGCTCACACTGACTTTAAGGCGAAATGACATTAGCTTTGATAGGCAAAGCCACCGATTTCTGGCTATTCCTTTATATTTTAAAAAATTGTTTTTTTTCTTCCCCCTCCTAAATTATATTCCCTCCTACAATCCAAAAGCATTGCAAGAAAATAAAATCTTCGTCCGTCATCTAAGTCCCCACTGCCGTTGCCTAACCATAGGCTTGCAAAATAGATTTATACATTTTTCAGTATCTCTGTTTAGCGACCTCTCCGTGACCTCTCGCCAGGCGCTGAGCATCTGCAAACACAGGACACCGCGGATCACACATTTTTAAAAAACTGAATATGCTTTACAGTAATTGAGCCACTTCAGTTTGGGAGAGGACAGGGAAAGGGGCCTCATGTGACAATTAACACCCTGTTTAACAAATAGTATTAAGAAACAGCTGCTAACTTAAATTTGCTTCTGATGCGTTAAGTGCCCATGACACTCTTTAGGGCCTTAGGGATACTGGTGGGGCCTTCATCAAAGCCCACCACCACCACCACGTTCATGGCTTCCCTGGTCACTTTGTCACATGGGGGAGCAGCATGGTTGCTGTGATTGCAAGGTCCTCACTTTGGCGTTCCAGAGTTGTCGTCGTCTTCCTCCTCCTCTTCCCCGCTCCTGACCTAAGCCACGGGGAATGGTGCATCAATGGCAAGGTGAAATATCCTCCAATCCCAGTAGCTCTTTGACAAGTCTCTCGCCGAACTGCACCCGGCTGTACTTTTTCACGTGGTAGGCGTCGGACATTTTGTATAGGATGTAGGCGTTGTTTATGGCAATGCTGATGGCAAACCAGAACACTTGCTGCCAGGTCTTGTTTGGTTTATGAGAGATGAAATACCTGGAAAGCACACAAAAAAGGGGAGGGGAGGGAACCCAACGGTCATGAAAACGTTTCTGAGATAAGGCAAAGGGTCTGTGCCCTAAAAACTACAGAATCTAGACACAAGACAGAAGAATGTTCTGTCTGTCTATGTCTTACACATAAGAAATCTGGCAAGGAATGGCAGTGGGAATAGGGGGTTTGTTGGTTGGATGGTAAAACATATATAAAGAAAAGAATCTTGCCAATTTCTCCATAAGCTGGTGAACTGGGAGAGAGGACTTTATTCTGCCACAGCAACATAGCCACCAGAAAGGATGGTATTTGTTTGATATTTGGTATTTGTTAGGCTGCTAATGCTTTTTGGACCAACAGACAGCTTAAACTAGCATGGCAGAGACTGAGAAAAATGATGTTTGATTTTGCTAGATTTTCTTATAGCACACACTGGTGCATGGGCACTGCTGCTGAAGAGCAGTCCATTGAATTCTGCACCTGAGAAAGCACATTTTGTGTTGCCTGCAAAGCGTCAATGCAAAAACACTGTTCAGTGCCAACTGTTTTCATGTGATTGGCCTTGGACATTTCGTACAGGATTTAGGGATTGTTGGTGACACTCGTTTGGCATCAACACAAAACCAAGCCTTCTGTGTTATTGATCCTCTCCTGTGGAATGCTCCTCCAACAGGGATTCCACAAGCATCTTCTGTACTAACTTCCAAACGTTTGCCAAAGACTTTTCTTGGCAGCCAGGCTTATGCTGACAACTGAGAAAAGTATTTTCCAAAACAGTCAGCTTGTGATATGGTTTACATTTTTGTATTCATTTTAACTGGTAAACTGCTTTTTTAAAAATGGAATTGCAGTATACTAACTTTTTTATATATATAAATAAATATGGGAGAAGATTAAGACTATTTAAATGCCCCAAGGCAAATTATGCGGTTCCTGATCTCAATGCCAAGCACAGTACCTTAACTTTGTGCTGTGACTTGGAGAAGTAAAAGGAACCAATTCCCCCGTCAAACATAATTTATGAGCTTTTCTTCTAAACTGCAGTATCCTGACATGACATGTCCTCTCATGACAGTTTTCCTCTCTCGGTACAAAATGTTCTTCAGTCACCTTTCAACATGCTCCATGTGTAAATAGGTCATGGAAGAGCTCTAGAATTGCAGCCCAATGAAGTCAGCCATGCCTCAAAAGTTCATCTAAAACCAGGATCTTCCTATGTGGTGTCTGACTAGGGATGCTTTCATGGTCAACTGAAAAAATCATGTGTGAAATAAACAGGAATGTTGTATACTGGTTAGTGTTGTGAGCTGCACTGATCTGCTGGGGAGATGAGATAGAGTTGTTATTAAATAACAAATTCATCAGAAGGGCTGAACTACTTCCATGCAGTTCCAGTTACAGATAGGTAGCCGTGTTGGTCTGCCATAGTCAAAACAATTTTTTTTTTCCTTCCAGTAGCACCTTAAAGACCAACTAAGTTAGTTCTTGGTATGAGCTTTCGTGTGCATGCACACTTCTTCTGTTTCAGTGTATCTGAAGAAGTGTGCATGCACACGAAAGCTACTTCCATGCAGTTGCTGCTCAATGTTAAGTTCTGTGCTCTCTCTCTCTCTCTCTCTCTCTCCCTCTCTCTCTCTCTCTCCACACACACACACACACACACACAATATCTCCCTACTGTAAGCTTGATTTCCCCCCTACCACTTTCTAGTTTTAATGTGAGTGAGATGGAGGGAACAAAATCTCCACGTGTCTATGCGCCACTATTTTATTTAAAATGAATGAAGATTTGCAGCAGTTAGCACCTGCTACACTAGACCCAAACTATACTTGCTTTTCGCTCAATATAAAAGATGACTCAAACACCTTTCTTCTATTTGCTTCCTAATTTGTGCAGATTTAGCATTTGCTTTCAAGTGTACTGGGCACGCTGTTAACTGTTTCGAAGGGCTGCTTTCGATTGCTTATATTCTCGCTCTTTCACTAAGAGGCTGAGGGTATTTTGATTACAAAAAAAATTGCTTCGGGGAAATACTTTAGAAAAACACATTCAAGCCTACAAATTTCGTTTAAATTGTACGAAATGGGTTCTTCCTTTGGCTGTTTTGAAAAAATCTTCATCCAAACTCCTGCCATTTTCCTATAATGGGGCCAATACAGAAATCCATAAGGATTCTTATAAAATGACTTTATAGTTGCCTACACACCATTCCTCTCCCAAAGAATCTTGGGAACTGTAGTTCTCAATAGCACAATTCTCAACACCATTGACAAGCTACAGCTCCCAGAATTCTTTGGGGAAAGTCATGTGCCTGATGTATATGCAACCTACATTTGGATATACTTCAACTGAAGTAGCCCATTTATAAGAAGGTCTGGACTCTCTTTAGATGAAGATGGCATCTTTCTCTTCTTTTTCTAAGAGGCCTTTTTAGGGCATGGTGATGGATTGGTGAAAATAAAACGGCAACACCATAAAACAAGAACACTTTTTCACTTTTCTATCACTTGTGTATTCCAGACCAGTATTTTGGTTGGGACACACCTACTAAAGTGACCACAGGGAACCTTTTTTTTGTGTTGGGGGGTTGGGATTCAGTTTCTAAGAGATTGGCATAATGGCCCTTGAAGAAGCAGCCTATAGAAAGGCTGCCCAAATTTGTTTTTGCCAAGTCCTTTCCCTTTCCTGTAGAACCTCGGCCAAATGGATGCCTCTCCACCCCCATCCTCTGCCCCATTTCCCAGCCTGCAATCCTATTTTCTTCACAGAGTTTCCGGTTCCACTGGCTGTCTTTCACTGCTGTGCTGTCGCTATTTGTGTCCTTTCTTTTTCAGCTAAGACCCCAAGAAAAACAAACAAAACAACACAGAAGTTATGCCAAAGAAGACCCGAGTGAGAACGTTCCTCCCTTTTTTTACTCCATGGAACAGGGAGGCTCCTGTACTTGGAAACTGCTTGCCGTGGCATTTTATTTGAATCGGGATAGGGAATAGCCTCTGAGGACAAAGGCTGGGCTTAACTGTCCGAGATACACCAAACAGCTAGTTCTTCTATATGAAAAATGGATACTGGGTAGTTCTTTGAGGACTTTATCACCTTGGTGTGCAGGTAAAGGTAAAGGTACCCCTGCCCGTACAGGCCAGTCGTGTCCGACTCTGGGGTTGCGTGCTCATCTCGCTTAAGAGGCCGGGAGCCAGCGCTGTCCGCAGACACTTCCGGGTCACGTGGCCAGCATGACGAAGCTGCTCTGGCGAACCAGCACCAGCGCAGCACACGGAAACACCGTTACCTTCCCGCTATAAAGCAGTACCTATTTATCTACTTGCACTTAGGGGTGCTTTCAAACTGCTAGGTGGGCAGGAGCTGGGACCGAACGACAGGAGCTCACCCCGCCGCGGGGATTCGAACCGCTGACCATACAATAGGCAAGTCCTAGGTTTTACCCACAGCGCCACCCACATCCCTTAACAGGATGCGGTAACGAAACCCTATTTTCAAATTTGTGCAGGTAACGAAACCCTATATTCAAATTTGAAAACATAACATGCAAAACTAGACAGAAAGAAAATACAAGCATTATGCACTTCCTTAAACACTAAACCACAAATATATCCTTTGTAGAAAAAGTTAACCAAAGTAGCCCTGTTAACAAACTATTGCTTTGTTATTCAAGTAGGTTAGAAACCTTGTGAACAGAGAAGAGTGGCAAGTGTCAACTTGGAACCGTAATTCTGGAAGAGACTCAAGGTTTACCATCTCTGCATACATCTATTAAACAGATGAGCCTCTCTGACCTGCATGTAATATGTAAGCTTTAGTCATAATTGCCCACATCCACATTTTATTAAATGACCCAGAGAATGATTAGGGAACAGTTGAGTTATGTGAACATAATTTGGATTTTTGAATGAATACGATGGTCACCACTCTGGTCACTTCTCTCCCCATTCCCCATGGAAACAGAGAAGTGCATGTGCACACACTTTGCTCTTCCAAAACAAATGGGTGAAATCCAGATCTCGTAGGATTAATCTGAGTCTTGAACGACACATAGAGCTGAAAGAGGAAGTGGGAAAGAGTGCCACACTTCCAACTTCCTCCTTCAGCTCTATTTACTTTTCAGGAGAGAGAGAAAAGTAGTCCTCCTCTCCACCTCATGACCAGTGGGGCAGCAAAAGAGGCAGAGGCTCGGATGCCTTGTGGTGATGGCCTCGGCGGTACCACTGGCATTGCTGGTTGCTGTCTAAGTTAATGGCCATTTCTAAATCTGTGTCACCTATACAAAACTGTAAACAATGTAGAAGAACTGTGTCACACGTTCAAGAGAGTTGCTGAAAGATTTCCTCCAGGCTTGTGTGGAAAACTGGCTAGACTTCGATACTGTTGTTACTGACTCTTGTGTTTTCATCTGCTCCTGTATTTATTGCTTGTTTATTGTTTGTAATGGATTTTTTAAAATAAAAAATCTTATCTCACCCTGGTACCGGTATGTGATGACAGGTGGGTTGGAAATAAGTTTAAATATATAATCACAGATTATTTAAATGAATAACAAGACAGCACCATGCTGGTAGCTCTTTTAGGGTGCCGCAATCCTATTCAGGTAAAACAGTGATCCCTTTAGTGATCCCTTTAGAAAAGGGTAGGCTAGTTCTGCATGGAAACAATTTGAAGCATGGAACAGAAATCAACTACAGTGGTGCCTCGCAAGATGAAATTAATTTGTTCCGCAAGTTTTGTCGTCTTGCGATTTTTTTCGTCTTGCGAAGCACGGTGTCGGGAAAGTTTTGGAAAAGCTTCAAAAATCACCAAAGTCTTTAAAAACCTCAAAAAAGGCTACCTCGAAGTCAAGTCGCAACTGTATTAACGGTGTTAAGAAAAAGGAAACAAACTTGCAAGACGTTTCTGTCTTGCGAAGCAAGCCCATAGGGAAAATCGTCTTCCGAAGCAGCTCAAAAAACAAAAAACCCTTTCGTCTAGCGAGTTTTTTGTCTTGCGAGGCATTCGTCTTGCGAGGTACCACTGTAATAAATAAAACTACACTCTCTAATGGTGATTATCTTGAGTTTGCATGTCATGGTTGCTGCCATTTTACAGTGCCTAAGCTCCATTTTGGGAGCCAGCAAACCTTAAAAAGAAGCCAATTCTACTAATACTGTATCTATATGTAGCATTTCTTTGGTTTAATTCTTTCTGTCACAGCCAAGAAGCAAAACTGAATTCTGGCCAGGTTGCCTTTCCCTTCCTGGAATTCCCAATTGAAATGCTAATCAGCTTGTTGCCAGGCAGGGGTGTGTTTGCCAACCTTTGGGTACTGAGTGATTAACACCGCGGCCAGTTCCATTTGGCCTATCACAAGCTCCGGTTCTGACTTGTCATATAAATGGCCGTAGGCACCCTTTGCTGAGTTGCAAAAGGTTTGCTTTGGTTTTGAAGAGATATGCATTCTACCTGATACCTTCTTGTGGTGACAAAGGCTGAGCTGAAGCTGCTCTGGAACCTAGACACCATGTGGCTGAAACCATCTTGTAACAATCTGAAAGAATTGCCCAGCTTGGTTCCTAGATTGTATGACTAAGACAGTCAAAGATTCAATGTGTTTAAGAAGTCTGTTTGGTGGAAGGTTCGCAGGCTATGAAGGACTTGCTCACAAATTTATTGACAGCTACACAAATTATTATAGCTAGGAAGCGGAAAGGGAAAGCAGAATATAAAATGGGAGAGTGGTATAAAGAGGTGTGGGATATAGCTATTAATGATAAATTAACATGTGTCATTAAGGTAAGATGGGGAATATGAAGGAGAAATGATTTTGAGGAGATATTGCAGAATTTGTACTGTTCAAATGGAAGGGGGTCAAGCCATTGCAAGAGTTGTTGAAATTTTGGGAGGTTGGATAGTTACAATAGAATGGTCTTGGTGGTGGGGTGCACATTTTTATTCTTATTTATTTATGATTATTACATAGTCTAAATAAATAAATAAATAAATAAGAAAGACGCTGTCTGTTTTCTCCCTTTAACAGCAACTGGGTTGTGAAGCAGTATTGGAACCATGAAGTGGGAAGGTGGGTAAAAGGCTTTTTAAAACCCCTTTGACAACTCCACCTCACAAATTGCTATAGGGCTGTGGAGGAAAAACACTAACAACACCAATGGAAACACCAATGTGTATCTGAAGAAGTGTGCATGCACACGAAAGCTCATACCAAGAACTAACTTAGTTGGTCTTTAAGGTGCTACTGGAAGGAATTTTTTTTGTTTTGACTATGGCAGACCAACACGGCTACCCATCTGCAACACCAATGGAAGTTTCCATCTCAGAACAAAAAGGAACAGGTGGGGGGGGTAGAGATATTTTTTGGCAGAACTGTAGTGCTGGTGAAAGCTTTAAATGCACTGTTTCCCTCTTCCTCTATTCTAAACAAAATTCAGATTCCCCATAGCTGCTCCAAAGTGGGGAAAATGTTAGGAAACCCAGTCATGGATCTTCCACAGCATGTCTTGAGTCACCTCTGAGTGTTTTTATCCCTGTGCAAATACACCTCAGAACTGAAAAGCAGTTGAAAAGGGCAAAATTTCCTGACCCAATAGTTTTCCAACTACAATAAGCTTTTCACATGGGGGGGACATGTAAAAATGTGGTCCCTCAGCTGAAGTGTGAAGTACTACAACCCAGGGAGGGGTGTGCTATGTGCCATTTCTGCACATTGGAAATATGCTGTTTCTATGTGGTAGAAACCAATTTTTATTCTTAGCCACAAATCCACACTGAAGCTCTTGAGAGACAGTGCCTATATGTGGTTCTTAAATAAGCTGTTTGAAAAACATCCCCGCCTTGACCCATCCAGCTCTCTTAGAAGATATTCAGACAAGTTGGGAATGAAGTTCTATGCTTGGCTTCATTGTCCATGCTGGAGTCAGTGAAGGCAAAGTCAGGTATCTATTTTCTTCTGAAAAGCTGAAAGTAGTACCCTTATTCCAACAGTATGACATTCATCCTCAAGTCCCCACCACCCCACAACTTGCTTACTTGCTGTATTTGTCATCATATTTGCAGATATAACTAAGATGAGCAGCAAAGGCTTCTACTGCCAACGGGCAAGGGATCTCTCCACTTTTCCTCTTAATTATGACACCTGTTTCGATGAAAAAGAAACATGTTGGTTGTCACTTGTGGTTAACATGCAGTATGCTCTGATCCTGATAATTATCACCCCTCCAAAGCTGGTGCTATTCCCTTTTTTGGGGGGAGGGGGGCAGAATTTGCATGTTAGCTGCAAAGACACAGTTAATGTCCTATCTAGTTTGACCCTTAATTGCCCTGGGTTTGTAACCTGTTGGGGGGGGGTCCAGGTCCCACCCCCAAGCAATGTAGCATCTCTGAGCCCTTACCTTGTTGAATTGGAGAATAAGCGTTGGTCAAAAACCGAAAGTAGCCTTTATTGTACCAGCAGATCAAGGACATGTTTCCTTTCATCTTTATCCTATATTGTCCTCGAGACTGAGGAGCATCTGGGTTATTTAGCATAGATGGAGGCAGGCCTGTGCAGTCACTTTTTCTTGCACTTAACAACCCACAACAATAAATCTCTGCAAATGGAAGATGACAACATGTATTAGCAAAACTACCTTGCAGTTTGAGAGTTGAATGGAACGGTCATCTCCTGACCTACCAGGCCTAGAGGGGGAAAGGTGGGGCAATGACTTACAGTTTCCATGAGGAAATCCTTCTTGTCTCAATAAAGAATGCCATATAAAAGGAAATCCCAGGAGAATTGTGTGGTGAGTTGTCTACTGTATGAACAAGATTGCAATGCATTTCCAAGGGAGAAGACTAACTGGAAAAGGAAACTCCAAAAGAGGTGGATCTGCTTAGCTGTGCCATACGTCACGACAGTAAAGGCCGCCTTGTCTATAGCAGGAACTGAGAACCTGTAGTTCTCCAGCTATTGCTGGACTACAGTTTTCCTGACCATTGGCCGTGCTGGCTGGGGCAGATGGGCATTGGAGTCCAGCAACATCTGGAGAACCACAGCGGCCCACCACCCCTAGTCTAGAACATTGCAATTGGACAAGTTTAAAGCATGACATTATCAGACTGCAGTCTGAAGTGCCAAGGATAGCTAACGCGATTCAACAAGACTTCCTGCCATTTTTATTCAGAAACATTAAAACATAAAATAAAAACCTTAAACATCTTAGCTTTTAAGGACTAAAAGCTGAGTTCATATAGAGAACTGACTTTTTGTGGCATCTTGTGGCTATATTTCATGTCTAGTGAGGCTTATAGATCACATTGCCAGCCCTACATTGCCCTTGGGGTCCCTTCCAACTCAAGAGTCTACAAATCTATTCCTTTTGGTGTATTACAATTCAAAAATCCAAGCTTTCTTAAGCTCCACTAGAATCTGAAATGGTCTGGTTGAGAAGGAGCCAGTGGGGGAAATTGGATTTGTTCATATTGTAATTTCAAGTCATTAGAAGGATTTCCAGCCACAGTTCTAGCCACATCTGAACACGAAGATTCACATTTTAGTTCTGGGGCCCCTAAATGAAGGAAAGAACTAAGGTGGGTGGAGCAGGTGAATGAACCACTGAGCCTGGTACCAGTTGGAGAACACTAGCTTATTAGTATCATTACTGATAGGCTTACTGAGTTCAAGTGCAAACTCTCTGAGGTAAGAGGAAGCACAAAGATTCCTCTCAACAAAGTTGTCCTGACTCCATGAACAGTAGGGCCGGCACAACCATAACACTGGACCAGCAGGTGCAGTTCTGATCACCTCTTAAACCTCTTCTATTTGTCTTTCCTGCCACAGTTAAGCTCATAAGCCGTTCCCTCCTATTGCACAGATCCCAATTTTCTCCAATAGTGTGAAGTCAATGCTATTGAGTTTGCTAAGGGGGCCTTTAATTCAGAAGCACAAACACCAAAAAGGTTAGAGGTAATTAAGCACAATCTTTCTTTCAGTCCAGACAGAGAACTTGTAAATGGAGCGTCACCTTACAAAGGGTAATGAGAACCATATGTCAACCACCTCTCTAATGCAACAGAACAAATGAGGCATCCTAGATTTATGGCCAAGACAAGTGACTGCTTTAACAGTGGCAGCAGATTTAGTGCCGGCACATGGCACATGTAACTTACACAGATTCTAAAAAATAAACCTGCGATGGAAGCTCACAGTTGCTAGGGCAGCAGGCAATAAAAATGAAATAAAAATAAAATGAAATCCATCTGGGTCGATGGATCTATTCTGCTTTGTTACGTCCAAATAGCAAGTGCCTTTCTCTTACACAGTCATACCTTGGGATGAATATGCTTCAGCTTAAATATTTTTGGGTCGCGCTCCGCAGCAACCCGGAAGTAATGGAGAACATTACTTCCGGGTTTTGCCGCTCGCGCAGACACTCAAAACAACGTCATGCGCGGAAGTGGCGAAATGCGATCTGCGCACATGAAGACGTGCAGTCGCGTCTTACGTTCGCTTCAGGATGTGAAGAAGGCTCTGGAACGGATCCCGTTCGCACCCAGAGGTACCACTGTATATGATATACTTGTGTGGTGCAGGGGTGAAGCCTTGACAGTGACAGCACGTAGGTCAGCCTGGGAGACAACAGAGGGTAGGGCTGCCTACGATGCCCCCAGACAGCTGTGTGACAATTTTTTAACATTAAGATTTTTATGAAGAGATTCTAAAACGCCCTGAGAAGAAAGCAGAACAATGGAAGCTTCTGTTGCAGGGGAAGAAAAGCTTCAAGAAATTCAGATGAGGCATTTCCCTGATTTATATCACACATGCCTCAGGACAGGTAATTTGGGCAAATGGTAGCTAGAGAGAGAAAGAGAAAGAGAAAGAGAGAGAATGAAAATAGGGGATTGGGATTTAAATTCGGACTCCATCATTCCTTTAAATGGAAAGCTGGAAATCACATTCTCTCAGGTCACATCAGTTTTGACCCAAAATAGAGAGTGACAACTTTATTTGCTGATTTGAGAAAAAGTAACAAGTGCCTCCTAGAGAGACAGCTTAGGTCACCACTACCTGCTTATCTGTCTGCATCTCCCACTTATGGGCACAAGTGAAATCTTTTAAAAGTCACACCATATATTCAAAGCATTCCTATATCACTTTAAATTTCTCAAACGTTCCTGTGCCCTGAAGTTTTTTTTTAAAAAAAATTATGGGCAATGTAGAATTAACACAGGCCATTTCTTTTCCCCATTAATTGCTGGAGGGTGGTTGCGGGAGGGGGGCAGGGACAGGAGAAATTCTGCTACCCCTAAAATGCCACAGCAATTAAACAGCTATGAATTGCCTCTTGAGGTCCACAGGGATACTCCACAGCAACCATGTTAGCCTGTTTTCAGTTAAACTGTCAAAGCAGAAGCAAAACAAGAGAGCTTTGTGCCCCCGAAAGACCAACAACTCTATTGTTTTGTGAACCGGAGGTCAACCCCCCCCCACAGGTCAACACGTAGCCCGACACAAACCTTGTTTCTCAAACTCTTCAAAGAGATTCAAGCTGGTGATGCTGGGCCCAGTAAAAATGATGTAGTTCTTCCCTGCCGCGTTCTGACAAAGGCTCTTGGCCACCATGCTGTGGAGCTGGGTTTTGTTCTTCAAAGCATCCAGGCCTTCCGTGCCACTTCCTTCTTTCAGGTGGACATAGATCTTAACAAGCAAGCGGGGGCAGGGGCAGAACATCAGGGAGAAAAGTCAGTGTGCAGAAAGGCCAGTAGCAATGCTCTCTCATTCTTCTGGGAGATGAGCTGAATAGTACAAGTGCATACCTAATCAATGCTATAAGGCCTCTTCTGATGGACTATGCCAAAATGGCAAAATTAACTGGGAAGCTCGGAAATCAAGAAGACAATAATTTTAAGAAAGAATGGGGAAAGTTTTTCATTTCTTTATGAGACCACTGTAAACAGGTTAAAACATGAGCAGGATTTTAGTCACACTTCTAAAGTAATGGAAAGTATGGCTAATTTAGAAGGATAAAAATTTGGATAAGTACAGTGGTACCTCGGGTTACGAACTTAATTCATTCCGGAGGTTCGTTCTTAACCTGAAACCATTCTTAACCTGAGGTACCACTCTCACTAATGGGGCCTCCCGCCGCACTGCTGGCTCACGATTTCCGTTCTCATCCTGGGGCAAAGTTTGTAACCCGAGGTACTACTTCCGGGTTAATGGAGTTTGTAACCCTAAGTGTTTGTAACCCGAGGTACCACTGTATTGATATGCAGTTGTAAATATTATCTGTAGGACCCATGGAAGGGATGAGGGGAGGAGGAGTCAGAAGATTCAGAATAATCTCAATATTTGGAATTGGTTTTTTTGTTATGTGTTTATACCTTTTAAAAATCAAATCTAATAATAATAATAAATGCTAAGGCCTCTTCAGTCCTGAAGGGGAGCAGTCCTATGCATAAGAAGCTGGCAAGAGGCAAGCTGGTGTAGTTTAAACCGGTGTAAAGTTACAGCAGATGCAAGTCCCGTTCTGCAGTGGGGCTGCTGCTCTGCCTAAACCTGGCAGAGGTAATTTTATGTTCTATAGCCGGTTGCCAGGTAATTTGATGGAACTGAATGGGCTCAAAATCCAGCCTAAGTTTCTCCTCTCTGGTTCTGCCTCCACCTCACCCCCAGAATGCCCCTTTGGGGGGACTTACTCCAGCCTCAGCTTAGCCAGCTTCCACTCTGCTCCAGCTATGCCAGGATAAGGAAGTTATACCACTGTGTCTGAGCCAGGATTGGAGATTTAATGCTGGCTGAGCCCAGATGTGCTGCAATTCTAAGCTGCTCATTCTGGCCGCTCTTGCCACAGGCTTGTCCCCCTGAAACCTTTTGTTGGAACTGCAGTAAGAAATCCCATCCCAAAGCTGAATTAGCAAGCATCGTTGCAAGAAACAGCATGTTTAGAGCTGGACTGTTTTCAAAAATCATTCAGTATTCATCCACAGGAAAGCTACAGAGTTTGAATTGTGAAAGAGACTGATTGTTCATGGTTGTAGAAAGAAAGAAAGAAAGAAAGAAAGAAAGAAAGAAAGAAAGAAAGAAAGAAAGGAAGGAAGGAAGGAAGGAAGGAAGGAAGGAAGGAAGGAAAGAAAGAAAGAAAGAAAGAAAGAAAGAAAGAAAGAAAGAAAGAAAGAAAGAAAGAAAGAAAGAAAGAAAGAAAGAAATGCACACTGGTACTGCTTTTGGACTACTATGGGAAACAAGGAGTGCTTCACCTTATTGTACTGCTTGAAAAGACATTTGCTTGTCACTATATTTTGTGTCCTTCATTTCTAGAGATGTATCTCTTACTCCATACACACCCAGAGTAATGAGACATCAGCCCCGTTCAGGCACTCTTAAGTTCTATCCATGGAGTTCTGTGCCCTGGCATCACTACCCAGCCTTTCCCATACTAAGGAAGAAGATCTGAAGCAGGACAGTAGATGCATTGGGCTGAATGTCCAGTCCTCCTTGCAGCTGGTAACCCTGCTCCATCAATCAAGCAATTCCTGTTGGTCAGGCAGACAATTCCTATTTGGCCCATATGCAGCCAGCTGACCTTACGCTGAGCCTGGATAAGGGTGGCAGGAGCTTAAATAGCTCACTGAGCTCTCCCCTCTGCCAACAACATGCTTCTGTGGACGTGCTACTTCCACAGGATCTTAAGGCACAAGCCAACCCCAAGCAATTTTGCATTGGTTTCAGATTGAAGTATCAAGTTTTAAGAAAGGGTTAGGCTGTGGCAGAACCAAGGAACTGACACACCCAGAGGCTGCCTGATAGAGAGTTGTATGCAGCCGGGAGAAATTTGATCATGTCCTAAGACACTCCAGTCCTGTTTGAACAGGAGCAGTTTATGGCATGACTGATCCTTCTGCTCAAACTGCAGATGCAATTAGGTCAGTTACAAAGGAAATTATGGCAATCCTATCAGCCAAAACATCCACTGACCACCTTTCAAGCAGCCTGTAGTAAACCAGTTTTTCAGCCCCACTGACTAGACATTTGGACCCATGTAAATAGTTGTAGAGAGTCCTCTGCGTGCATGGCAGAATCACATGGACACAAGGAGATGTAGCCGCAGGCCCATCTGTACCCATCACATGAGAATAGGACTGCAGCAGAAGGCAGCTGTAATGGAAACTAGGAGAAAACCTAAAGCAGGTCTCACTTGGGGGCACAATTCAGTGGAAAGTTTTCTTGTGCAATCCTCAATTAAATGAACAGTGGCTCGTTTCAACTGGGTTTAGGGATGAGACCTCCTTTGTGGTTACTAGCCTAACTTCTCATGGGCTTGAGCACCCCTCCTCAACACCTCTAGTGTGGCTGCAATACTTCTGGTTTTGATTAACCACGGTTTGCTATGTTGTCTAAACCCAACAACAACAACTGTGGTTCATCTTGGTTGAAACATGCCAATTTCAGACTATGAGTCATGCGGCTGGCTTGTTTCTGCCAACCACTGCTCATCTCACTGTTCAACTAACCATTGGTCAACCATAATTGAGGGGTCTGGCATAATGCTAAATTCCTGTTAATAGAAAAACAAAAGCTTCAAAACTCCTTCTTGGGCCCACACCAGATGAGGAGGTAGCAGCGGAGCACACACTCTTGGTGGGTGGGAGAGGTGTTAGGAGCGTCCTACTGTCGTGTAGGACCCTGGCAGAGACACATGCCCGACTGGCATGTTCTCTCCCTCCTGGTTGATCATTTGGGAGCTTCAAAAGCTTTCTTCTGCCCGAACATCACAGCGACTGATGCCAACAGACATCAACACACTCAGGGATCCGCAGAGTATTCGCAGTTTGTGTAACAGACCTCAGTAGCTCAGCATTTGGCTAATCTACGTTTATTTACATATAATACACTCGGAGCATTCTGACTTAGCTCCTTCCTCTTTCTCATCAGACAGCAAAGAGAAAGAACAAAGGACAATAGTCCCATTTCACGGAACACAGTAACACAAACATCCTGTCTCCGTCACTTCCCACTCTATGGAATGAAAAAATACACCGTCATGTGATAGACAACAATCCCATGACTGTAGACACAGGGAATGAATCTCCAACATTCTCCCCTGATTCATGCACTGTGTTGCAGTCATCAGTGTAACTGCAACAACCATACAGATGTCATACACACAGTATACCCCTGTATCACCCATTCCACTCTTGGAACTACCTGCAACTGGACTGGCCTTGGGCCTTACCATCTTGCACTTCTGACTAGTCTTCGCGTCATAACCCTTCTGACTGTCAGGAAGTCTCACATCTGGCTTTGTTGGGACTCGAACTCTAGTCTCGTTCCTCTCTGAGGAATCGGTGTTCACCCTTACAGCCTTTGGGTGTGGTTTCCCATCCCTTGAGGACAAACCCTGTACCCCTTTCATGCCTCTGGGTTCCAAGACCTGTGTCGAGCCACTAACCACAGCTAAATCTGCAACAGCCTGGGGTCAATGAATAAACCATGGTTTATAGTGACATCTGGGGACAGCCATTATGTTTGCATTTATTTTTAGGATGAGCACACAGAACTTCCCCGGCATGTAATTGTCCTATACAAAGCAGCCACCAGGAAAGCAACTCTGTCCTGAGTAATATTCCGAAAGCCTATTTCCACAGACGTTTGAGCTGCCTGCCTAACAGCTGCAATAATCTATGGATGTCTTGGCCCTGCGCTTGACAGGGAAGGTTTCCCACATGACCCTCATGAGTGGATATTCTTTAAGCCATGGCTTAATTAATACTTGGGAATGGATTTTTGGGATGCTCAAGGAGAAACAACAGTAAAACAAGTATTATTTAAAAGAATTGAATGAAATATACTCTACGGGGTGTTGTGGAAGGGAGCTGTCTCAAAAATATGAACAAGGCAACTGATAAATTCAACTGGTTTTATTCCTACAAGCTTTGAACTTTCACAAATTTCAGAGAGAGAGAGAGAGAGAGAGAGAGAGAGAGAGAGAGATGTTAAATACGGATACCCCTACGAAAACGACAGATGGCTAACCCTTCTGCAACTCTGCCCTTGAAAAGGAAATTCACCCCGGGCTTATATTTTGCTCTCTCAAAGTAGATTGAGTAAATCAATTAGGACTTAATGGGACATCAAATAAGCTTATTCACAACGTGAGGACAGCGAAAGTCATTCTAATTTTTAATGTAGCACCTTACCACTGTGCACAGTTCTGACATTCTCCAACATCAGAAATGGCTCTCTGTTTAGAATTGCCACAGGTTTATCATGAATGAAAAACAAATGGGTAACAAGGAGACAGGGAGGAGAAACGAAAGAAAGATGGAAAACTCCAACCCATCTGCATGCATTTACAGTGTGGCCTGATGCCATGTTAGATGGGATCAACATAAGCACATTTTAAGAGTCTAGAATCAAGGCTATTGACAAGACTCAAGATGCCAGCCCCTTTCAGCACCACTGGAACCATTAAGAGAAGACCAGACTTGGGCCACAGCTAGGGATGGGTGAATCTGTCCATTGTGATTTCAGTTTCTAATTTCCCAATCTTCTGTTCTCCACATTTCCACATCCGTTTGCAATTTTCTTTTAAAGAGTCCTCACAACATCACCAGCATTTAAATGTGAATTTCTCCTAATATACACATTTTTGTGCACAGTTTTGCCTTATACGCATTTTTGCCAAACAACTTCCCAAATTAGAAGGCATTTTGTGTGCTATTTTCACTAATGTATGCATTGTAAGGCACATTTTTACCCTGTGTGTTTTTGTACACATCACTTGGGTGGAGAACTACACTGCAAAATTCAGAGAAGTGTATATTTTGAAAGTTGCTGTATTTTGAGTCTCCTACTGCTTCCTAGCAAGGGACGCGGGTGGCGCTGTGGGTTAAACCACAGAGCCTAGGACTTGCCGATCAGAAGGTCGGCGGTTTGAATCCCTGCGACGGGGTGAGCTCCTGTTGCTCGGTCGCTGCTCCTGCCAACCTAGCAGTTCGAAAGCACGTCAAAGTGCAAGTAGATAAATAGGTACCACTCCAGCAGGAAGGGAAACGGCATATCCGTGCGCTGCTCTGGTTTGCCAGAAGCAGCTTAGTCATGCTGGCCACATGACCCGGAAGCTGTACGCCGGCTCCCTCAGCCAATAAAGTGAGATGAACTCCGCAACCCCAGAGTTGGTCACAACTGGACCTAACAGTCAGGGGTCCCTTTACTTTGCTTCCCAGCAGTAGGCAAATTTGGTAAGTTCACCTTTAAATGCTGAATCAAATTTCTCCCCATCCCCAGTCATAGCTCTGACTTCCTGATTCAGTTTGGAAGCTGTCATTTGAGTGGCAGGACCATGAGATGATCTGTCTCCACATCTCTTCATGGCTTAATTAAACTGGAAGCATGCCGTGCCAGTCAGACTGCCATGGGAATGGAAAATTATTATCCCGGCTTATCATTTGGAAATTATTTTCCTCACTTCTGGACACCATGGTTAAAAGAAGGTTATTGATACAGAGTACAGAGATAAAGAGCAGAACTGCAAAGATGATAAAGAGTCCAGAAGGTAAATCCTATCAGAAAAGTGGTATGTGTTTAGCTTAGGGAAAAGAACCTGGACGGGGGGCGGGGGGGTATTTAAAATCTACCAACAAATGGAAAAATCAGCTTTCTCTGCATTTTGAGATCTGATGGGCACAAGTTAACATCAAGAGAAGCACCAAGCCAAAAATCAGAATAAAAACATATTTAAAAAGAAAAAGATAGTCAATTAAAAGCAGCAGAAGGAAACAATTAAATTACAAAGGCTAAAATGTAAGGTCTATGCCAGGCAACATAGACACCAGGTGAGTTTCTACTGAGAGGGAAAGTGGTGCCATCACAGAAAAGGCCCTCTTCTATGGCTGCCATCTACCTCGCCTTAGTATGGCACCCAAAGGAGTGGCTCATCTATTGGCTTCAGTGCACTGGTGTGTTGATGTGGGAACAGACATTCCTACAGGCACCTGCATCCGAAGCTGTGATCCCCAGGTGCTAAGTAAAATAGCTAGTATGAAGGCTGGGCAAGGGGCAAAGAAGTCCCATTGCATGGGTAGAAGTTTCATGGCTGAGACTCATGAGTTGAATTCCACCCATAAACCCCACAGGCTACACCAGTTTTGGCTTTTGTGCAATTTATTGCTTTGCTTTATCTTTTTACTCATCTGAATTTCTTTGAAATGTCTTTAAATGTAAGCTATATGGAAACATTATAAAATCAAAACATTATAAAGTATAATAAATGGCATTTTGGATTCAAGAACTTTGGGCTTCTACATTTGTAGAAACTGTTTTTGTTAGAAAGATGCTCTCATACAGATAGCCGCAGAGAGTTTACCATTTCTTCTCACTTAAGTCAATTATCTCCATGTTGGAACCAATCATTTAGACTAAACTAAAGCCTCCTTTTGGTGCATTGAGCAAATTATTGTTTTCCTCCTTCACAGAACAGCAGGCGGTCTCCAAATAAGTGGTTGACTTCCACAGGGCCTTTGTATAAATGTACTGGAAAGGTCGTCAACATAAAGGTGAATGTGGTATTTAAGTCTCTAGTCACTGGGGGGAAAACATCACACCTGTTCTTGCAAGCTGTGATATTGATGGGTTCACACGTTTTGAAAAGTTCATTTTCACAACTTCTTGAACTTCTTTCTCACCTGATCCTTTCAAATATGAACAGAGGGCTGTCAAGATGTGCATAGACAAAGGCTCTTGAGATTACTTGGGAGTTATTTGGATGCAAGTCAAACGCAAGTGTCAAGTTCATTATTTTGCTCAAGCTGTTGAGCTTGATCCTGTGACGTGCGGAGTGTCATCCATTCTCATTGACTTTGACAGTTTGAAGATGTATGTTAATGGAGATGGACTGAGGGCAGAAAATAAATTATATTTGGAGCCCAGAGTAGCTGGAATCTCTCCAGCAAGTCTACATTTGTAACAGTTTTCATTTATGATCTATAGACCTTGCTCTTTCTCCTTCTTATCCTTCAGTGCCAAAGTCCATGAAGGCCAAACAAAAAGTCTTATACCGTGGGAACTATCGCCCATGGCTTTTCCCCGTGATGCTCCTGTAAGAGAAGAATCCCGAGGCTGTGATGTAGGAGCTGAAGACACAGCTACTATGCTAATGGGAAGTGCAGCAATGGCAGCATGGGAAGTAACTGGTTATGATGACAAATTTCAGAAATGGGGGTTTCAGAACGATTTCAACTCAGAAATCCACGATCCATCAGAAGCCAAGCACAAGCCCTCTCTGAAATTTGGGCCCAGTCCATAATGGCTTTCCTGCTCGGATAGCAGAGTTGGTTAGAGCATGGTGCTGATAACACTAAGGTTGCAGGTTTGATCCCCATATGGGACAGCTGCATATTCCTGCATTGCAGGGCGTTGGACTGCACGGTCCCTTCCAACTCTACAATTCTATGATTCTATGACCATCATCTATTGCTCCCTGCCAATTCCCTCCTATGTCCCAAAACATGCAAATGGAAATGTGGGCATCCACTGGTTTCTGTGTTGCTGTGTTTTTCTGGGGAGGAGGGGGAGATGTGCAAAGTATTTATTTCATAAAATTGCTTGTTTTTTGTTTTTGTTTTTAAATCGAAGTAGAATACCAAAAAGGGGCAATAGGACTAATTTCTCACAAAAATTGAAAATAATACTTCCTGTCCAGTTTCTCTCAGGTGCTACAAGTGGTTGCAACATAGTAGTTTTGTTGTTGGTTTTTTTTAATGAAAGCTGGGAATATGAGGATTATGGTTCATCCTGGGATTTAGCAACCCCCCCCCTTCATTTTGTCTCTCTCCGCCCACACCCTGCAATAGATACCTAGGATTTGTTGAAGGAAAAACTTTATAGGCCGCATCTTTAAGGGATGGGCACTTAGTCAGAAATTGTATCTCTTGCTGAGGTACCTTGGGCTTGCAGTCTGAATTATTCAATAAAATTAGGAGGCATAGAAAACAACCATCTTCAGACTGGCAGGAATGACAAGATGAACTTCCCCAGGATATTTTTTTAAAAAAACCTGCCACTTTTTCATATAAACAGTGTTAGCTTGGCCCATGCAGAGGGCATTGATGGACAGGAAACATTATTCTTGTTACTAGAGGGCTTGGGGAAGTTTCAATTTAACATAAATCATGCAAACAAAGACTTGGGACTAAGGCCTTTTTCTGTACAGGACAGACAGTGGCTCCCCCTTGTAGCCTCTTGGAAAATGCCTTAAACTACAAATTAATGCACTTTTCTGTGCAGATGCCTGATTCAGGGTTGAGGAGAATTCCACAGGCTCTTACCTGGCAGATAAAACCAGTTGATGAGCACTGCCGTACCCAGAGACTGAATTTCCGCTTTTTCCTCTTGCGTAACTCTCGCTCTGTGCAGGTGGCAATGAAAACCGGATCTTCGTCAATCAGAGGTTCATGGAGTACCTAAAATCACAACGGGGTTGTGTTATTCTATCACTGGGAAGGAAAACAGGGTTTTCAATTTCTCTAAAGCAAGCATGGCAAAGTGGATCAAGTGTCGCATTTCAACCAATCCCTATTCAGCTGTGGAGCTTACCAGGTGACCAGTTGCTATCTCTGAGCCTAATCTACACCGCTGGGTTGTTGTGGAAATAAAATAACAAAGGATTGCCACATTGTAAGCTAAAAAAACCTAGCCAGAAGATATGTCCAGAGGCACAGAAAAACCCTGAAGGCTGTAGTGGACACAGGCGCAAGCTATTGAAAGAGCCAAGAAAGGGGCAAAAGTCTTAAGGACTGAAAGTGGAGGAGGTAAAAAATAGAATTAACCTGACACAGCATCACCTGGCGTTCGCCAATATTTCCATTTATTGGAACAAACCAATAAATTCTTGAGTTGCACACATCTTTCCGCTCCCATTATTTGAGGACCCAGGGTGGCGGATATGGAGTTGTATAATGTTGACCTTTCCCCTGATATTCCAGTCACAAACCTGGCTCTGAGCTCCTTGGAAGGGAAAGGAAGACCATGGATGTGATGAAACAAACAAAAATGTTCTCTCCTCAACCCCCAAATCCATAGCAGAGTCAATTGTTGTCCTATGTAACGAAGACGATTGCGAGATAGATGATAGATGGATAGATGATGATAGATGATAGATAGATGATAGATAGATGATAGATAGATAGATAGATGATAGATAAGTGATAGAATGATGAAAACTTCAGATTATCTAGACCCCAATACATTTTGGATTATAATTCATAGGGGGTTATACACAACCCATTCTAGCAGCTGCAACAAAATCATGTTGTTCATGTCTGAACAGTGCACTCTGGCCTAGTTCAAACAAGCTATGGTGTTATCCAACTAAACCGTGTGTGGTTTGTTCCCTTCTGCCACTTATGGTTTATTTGGGGAAAACAAATCACAAGCCTGGATTTAGATGACACAACCCAGATTCTGGCTTCTTTCATACATGCCATGGCAGGATTGCTGTGAGAACTTTTGAGCAGTGTACACCAGTAACTATGGTTTCTGCACCAACTATAGTTTAATGTGAACTTAATCCATGTTTCCAGGGCATACGTTAACCATCTCCCCAAATATGAGGTGGGGTCACCATCTTTGCTCAGCCCTTATTCCTCTGATTATCGCTAGTCGAAACATTTACTTTAGCCCTTGTGAATTTGTAGACTGCAAGCGGAGCAAAGAACAGCTTGCTTATAATGAACTTGTTGTTCCCTCCTGAGAGCTATGCCTCGGTAATTTTAATTCCCTCCAGAATGTTAATCTTTGGCCGAGTTCATGTTGCTTCTTGCCAGCCACGTTCCACTCCTCCGGCTACCCAACAGTATCAAGCCATCAAATGAGATTTAAAAATAAAATGAAATGAAAAGGTTGCTCATTCAAAACATAGGTCTGTTTTGGAAAGCATCTTCAACGCATCACGGGGCTCACCTGTGCAATTATCATTAAAATGCAAATAGCAGAGAGAAAAGTTTGAAGCCACAAATGAATGCAGATATTTTTAAAAAGCAACATATTTATTATGTTCCATATAACCCAAGGAATTAGGACACACAATGCCACTTCAAACTGGTGACGAGAGGATCCTCACAGTCCACGTGAAAGTTATTTGGGAAACGGGATTAATTCCAGTTGTTCAGCAAAACAATCTATACATTAAATTGAATATGTTGTGTATTGAGCCCATCCAAGCATGGACATCACTTCGTAGGAACGGATTGCTTTTAGATGCAGATTGTGTATAGATAAATATAATGATACTTGCGAGTGCATTTATAAAAATTATAATGACTTGCTAATAATTGTACACTTGTTGGAATAACAGCATTACTTATATACCTATATATCACACTGTATTACAGTTTCAAGCACCTTTTTCTTTTCTTTTTTCATTTCTTTCACTTCATTTGCCCACTGAAAGTTTTCAATAAAATATAAATAAATAAAAACGATTACAGGAGACTTCTCCATTGCTGGCAGTCACTGGGGGAAAATCATGGTGGAAAACAGCAAATTTGGGATGGGGGCAGAGCTGGTGTGCTCCTTCCCACTGTCTCTTCCTTGTAATGGTTCGGACTAGATGACTCTTGGTGACCCTTCAAACCCCACAATTCTATGACATAAATGCTGTTCAGAATGCCTGAATACGACTTTAGGAGAACTCCCAAATTGCACACATTGATCCCTCAGGGGGAGTGCAAGCCCATCTAGGACGAGCTGAAAAACAATACCCAGGGTATTTGGATTCCCAGCTTGCAGAACATTTGCCTGGTCTCACTGCAAGGGACATCTAGAGGATGTGTAGTGTTTTCTTGAACCACCATGGGGGTATACTCTGAAAGCTGAGTGGAAGCGTGGCTCAGGGTTTTGATACCGAAAATTTAATATTCAAATATGCCTGCCTTCAAACATATTGAATATTGTTATAACAAAATTTCTCCCCGCCAGCCTTACATCTACACATCTTCACCTCTGGAGCTGCTGCACATCTTCATTTATGCAAGCCCTTAATAGCTCATAAAAGATTCACAGCACCACCTGAAAGCACCATAGCAAAACGTGCAGATTATACTAAAAAAACCCAAGAGGCACAGATGTGTGGAGCTGGGCAAAGTCTTTTTGATATCCTAAAGCAGACATGTACAACCGGTCGACCGTGATCGACAGGTAGATCCCCTGTTGATGCTTATCAATCGCTGGGTTAGAAAAACTTCAGAATGAATGTTTCCACCCCCCTCGTTCTGCCCCTCCATCGCATCAAGTGGGCAGAGTTTGGTGTTTTATCATTGCAATGTTGAATACAGCAATTGACTTAAGCGCTGTGTGTGTTTGTTATTGGCGGAGTGTGAGATGAGCGAAATATGTCACTCTCCCTTTAAAAAAGGCTCAAAAATGGGTCCCCTCCCGAAAAAGCTAAACAACTCTGGTCTCCCCCCAAAAAGCTCAACAATTCAGGTCAATCCTCAATGACAATGGGCAGATCACTGCCAGTTTTTTTTACACTGGGAGTAGATTGCAGTCTCTTGGGAGTTGGACGGGCCTGTCCTAAAGAATATGGATGCTAAGCCAGCAGCTACCCTGAGCCCCTAGCCATTCTCCTCAGTCACTTATCTCCTCAAGTAAGTTTTAATACTAGAATGTGACACCTTAACGTTGACACCACTTTGTACAAGTGGGTTATTGTGTTTAATTTGCCTTGAAGCTATATCCATCCATCCCACTGCTTATCTTATAGGAGTTAGGACAAGGTGTTGTAGAAAAGGAGATTTAAAGGCAAATACTGTATTTTTTGCTCTATAAGACTCACTTTTTCCCTCCTAAAAAGTAAGGGGAAATGTGTGTGTGGATGTGGAAATGTGGAACGAATGCAGGCTGCGCAGCTATCCCAGAAGCCAGAACAGCAAGAGGGATCGCTGTTTTCGCTGCACAGTGATCCCTCTTGCTGTTCTGGCTTCTGGGATTCAGAATATTTTTTTTCTTGTTTTCTCCTCCAAAAACTAGGTGCGTCTTATGGCCTGGTGTGTCTTATAGAGCGAAAAATACGGTAATTGAAGGTGCTGGTGTTAACCAACAAAACCATACATAGTCTGGGACTCCAGTACCTTTTTCCTTCACCACCTGAACCTTACAAAGGGCTTCCTCAGGGTGGTCACTCCATCAGAGTTACAGAGTGTGACAATGAGGGGGGTGGGGCTTGTCAGTGGTGCCCCCCCCATACAGAATGCTCCCCAGGGAAATTTGCCTGGTGCCTTCTGTGCAATTTTCTCTCAGGGTCAAGCAAATACATTATTCCCTGCCTAGGTTTATAGTAAATTTTAGAAGTTTTATTAGTTTCAGCAGCAGCACAGTTTTAAAGCTTTTAAACATCTTCCTTCTGATGACAATTTTAATATTGTTTATTCAGGTTGTTAAGTTTCATTGGTTTGGAAAGGGAAGTGTCTTCCATACAGCTTGGTATGAGGGAGGGGTGGGTTACTGCATGCCATTTTATGTCATTTTTAATTAACGTTTTTATTTTTTATGTTGCAAATTGCCTAGAGACTTTGGAGTAGGCCACACACACACACACACACACACACACACTCTTTTATAGTGGTGACAATGACAACAACTAAATGGCAACAATTTCTAGACTATAAGTGATCACAAAAGAATTCAACTAATTCCTTTAGTGAAATGCGGCGGGGGGGGGGAGTGCGGATTGCAAGGTTCAAACTCAAGGGAATCTCAGCCCAGCGGCGTAGTGTGGGTTGTCAGCACCCAGGGCAAGGCAAGTAATTTGCGCCCCCTAACCCATGGATTTGCGCCCCCTAACCTGTGGATTTGCGCCCCCTAACCCTAACCCAAGATGTTGCGCCCGGTGCGGCCGGCCCCCCCTGCACCCCCCACGCTACGCCACTGTCTCAGCCTTTCGATATCCAATAAGAGTCTTTCTTAAATCAGGAGCAAACTGAAGTATCTTCTCTCACCCCCACCTTTGCTATTTTATGTACCACTTTTTGTATATTGTTAACGTTGGCACATTAGAAAATAAATTCAATAACCAAAATGCTGTCAAGGGAAAGAGGTGCCAAACTTAAAGGTCTCTGAATAATTCATTTGAAATCTGTGCTAAACTACCGCAAAAACAGCTATTTCAGCATCTGCCACTGTGAAATCTGCGTTCTTCCATTAGTACTGGAAGAGAGGCAGACCAAAGAGACAAAGACAATTTAATTTGCTTTAGCAAATCTTCAACATAGGGCCAAACACAGGTATATAGGCAGAGCCAGATGTTCAGCATTATATAAGGCTAATTCCAGCCACATAAGTATTTCAAGCAGGAGCAAAGTATTCTTGGCAAAAGGACTTGGAAATGGGGAGATGGATTAGATGGAATTCAGAATTATAGCAGTCAGATATGATTAAGCTTTTAAGCCTTTGACATTCAATGCATTTAAAGGCCAGCTCACATGCATGGACGTCACTTAATGATATCTGCTGGTATCTGAATGCGTGAACTGACACCACTGAAAAACAACCAGCAGATTTGTTGTTGTTGTTTAGTCGTTTAGTCATGTCCGACTCTTCGTGACTCCATGGACCAGAGCATGCCAGGCACTCCTGTCTTCCACTGCCTCCCACAGTTTGGTCAAACTCATCCTGGTAGCTTCAAGAACACTGTCCAACCATCTCGTCCTCTGTCGTCCCCTTCTCCTTGTGCCCTCCATCTTTCCCAACATCAGGGTCTTTCCCAGGAAGTCGTCTCTTCTCATGAGGTGGCCAGAGTATTGGAGCCTCAGCTTCAGGATCTGTCCTTCTAGTGAGCACTCAGGGCTGATTTCCTCAAGAGTCTCCCTCCAGCACCATAATTCAAAAGCATCAATTCTTCAACAATCAGCCTTCTTTATGGTCCAGCTCTCACTTCCATACATCACTACTGGGAAAACCATAGCTTTAACTATACGGCCCTTTGTTGGCAAGATGATGTCTCTGCTTTTTAAGATGCTGTCTAGGTTTGTCATTGCTTTTCTCCCAAGAAGCAGGCGTCTTTTAATTTCGTGACTGCTGTCACCATCTGCAGTGATCATGGAGCCCAAGAAAGTAAAATCTCTCACTGCCTCCATTTCTTCCCCTTCTATTTGCCAGGAGGTGTTGGGACCAGTGGCCATGATCTTAGTTTTTTTGATGTTGCGCTTCAGACCATATTTTGCACTCTCCTCTTTCACCCTCATTAAGAGGTCCTTTAATTCCTCCTCACTTTCTGCCATCACGGTTGTGTCATCTGCAACAAATTCCCACCGTGAGCAATGGGAACCTGGACAACGTCACGGCTAATTTAATTCCATTGATTTCCAGTTAATCTTAGGGCCAAACCAGACGTGATATTATGTTGAAGTAAAAAAGCTGGCTTCTGATCTCAAGTGGAGCAGTGCAGGTTGGGGGAGAAGAGCTTTAAGCCTTTGCCCTGGCCGTGATTGTCACCAGGGCAGGTGTGCATTGGCAGCCAGGTGATAATGAGGCAAGCTGAGACCATCGTCTTGGGCTGTGGATGAAGTGGAGCTGTAAACTGACACATCCTGCTTCCTCCGAGGCTCGTGCGCCCTTGTCATTGCCTGGTTCCCATTATTGACACTGGGTGCCCACAGACATGGTAAGTCTTTCTGCTTCCGTCTCCACCTCCTCCCTGCCTCACTCTAGCCCATGCGTGGGGAACCAGCAGCCCATGGGATTAATTAGGCCCACTAGGGCTTTTAATTTGGCCCATGAAGCCATTCCCCCACCCCCAGCCATGCCCACCTGTCAGGATGTCAGCTGCAACTGTAAAAAAAGTAACTAGAACACTTGGCTATCCCTTCACCTGCACATGTTGAATTTGGTGCTGTTTAAATTTGCACTGGACGCAGGTGGCACTGTGGGTAAAAGCCTCAGCGCCTAGGGCTTGCTGATTGAAAGGTTGGCGGTTCGAATCCCCGCAGCGGGGTGCGCTCCCGCTGCTCGGTCCCAGCGCCTGCCAACCTAGCAGTTCAAAAGCACCCCCGGGTGCAAGTAGATAAATAGGGACCGCTTACTGGCGGGAAGGTAAACGGCGTTTCCGTGTGCTGCGCTGGCTCGCCAGATGCAGCTTTGTCACACTGGCCACGTGACCCGGAAGTGTCTCCGGACAGCGCTGGCCCCTGGCCTCTTGAGTGAGATGGGTGCACAACCCCAGAGTCTGTCAAGACTGGCCCGTACGGGCAGGGGTACCTTTACCTAAATTTGCACTGCTTTCAACAGACATCGGATCCACGTGGGAGCAAACAAGTAGATGCACCCCCCATCGCCATGGTCATGGTCTGTTTCAAAGAGTGCAGAATACAATATGCTTCTCAATGAATGACTGGTAGCACACTCTAAGGCCCCTAATGGGACCTTTGCAAGCACAACTTGTATTCCTTGCCATTTAAATTTGGCACCAAATGCAAGCCATGCTGCTTCAGTAGGGAGGTGTGCATGTCAAACCCATCTGCTCCCCACCTGTGGAGGGTTGGCCACAATTGAATCCTCTCCACCAGCCAAAAGCAGTTCCTCACACTTGCTCCAGCCTCTGAGGAAGGGCCATGGGGGGTTCCTTCCTCAGAATAAGGCATTCTAGGCTCTAAGAGCATTTGCCTTGCTGCTGCAGTTTGTCACCGTGGCTAGAAATGTTGTTTTATTTGGGAAAGAAATGTTAAAGTAACAGCATCTTTAGGTTTTTGTGGTGGTGGAGGCAGTGGAGAAGACACTTTCCCAGCCTTCTTGTCTTTATTAGCATATCTCTGGTTGGCTAATTCTCACACCCAATGCTGCAGTCATCAAGTGGGGATAAAACATATTCCACTCTTTAGTCAGCAGAATATTCTTTCAGATCTCACTAACAGCCTTCCAAGAATATTCTTCACTTACAAAGCATGATATACCTTCATGTTGGAAAGGGTTAACATTTAATGCTGGGTTCCAGTTTTCAATTCAATTAAACAATTAGCCATAAAGAGAAATAGTACAGATACAAGCTGAATTAATTTATCCCTCTGATTCACCACCTTCCAAAATGAAAACCAGTAGCTCCTACTGGCTAATTCTTTTGGTTTATTGGTGACTGGTTTCATCTTAATTTGATTACAGCTAAGCTAATCAATTTACTGAAAAGAAATATCATATATAAACTTTAAACCTTAGTAGCATGGCTTATTTTGCGATTGAATTAAGTGCCTGCCTTAGCTCAGGATAGATTTGTACATACTTATCTTGATGTACCACAAAACTGTATGACATGCATTCACAAACACACCACTGCACATTCATGCTTTGCACTGCTGGGAGTGTGTGCTAAATGTGCACTTGAAAAAAATTCTTTTTTAAATTTATTAAATTTCTATACTGCCCTTCATCTGAGGATCATAGGGCAGTTTACAATATAAAAACACAAAAAGTGTAACATAGTAAAAGTAATAATCTCAGCAGCCTCTTACATGATCCACTTTTATTTTGTATTATGAGATACTATTACGTTAATCAGCTGTTTACAGTGGTACCTCAGTTTTCGAGCATTGAAATCCGAAAGTTTTGGTTTTCGAACGCTGAAAACCCAGAAGTAATTTCTTCTGTTTTCAAACGCGCCTTGGAAGTCAAATGGCTTCCGCTGCATTTTTTTTCAATTTTCTCAGTGGAAATTGCAGGCGGCCTTTGTGCCTCAGTTTTCGAACATTTCGGAAGCCGATTGGTCTTCCGGAATGGATTACATTCGAAAACTGAGGTACCGCTGTATCAGGAAAGTTGGATATGTTTATGTTCTACAGCTTTGGTATAAAAGAGGTTCTGACATACCAGCATGGAGTAACCAAAGATCTCCCACAGCCAAGGAACCATATCTCACCTGCGTTTGGGAAGGCTTAAAGGCAGAGTCAAAGCTGTGTTGCAGGGAGTCCAGAAAGGGCTGGATTTTGTAGAGGCCATGCGTAGTCTGACTGGAACGGAAGGCCACAATATGGAAGTACTTGAGGATCTTCTCAAATCTCGGCTGAGTCATGATCAGTGCTATGCTCTTGTTGCTATAGAAACCACTACTCCAGATGCTGAGTACGGACTCGCAATGGTGAGTGCTGGTGGATATCATGTACGCAAGGAAAGCCTTGATTTCTGTCAGGGTGACGTCCACCCAGGCATCATCACTCCCAAATCGCTCCTGGTACTTCTTGGCATACATATTGGTTTGCACGACCACGTTCTTCAGCAAGTTGTCAGGGACAAAGAGTTGGAAGAAGTCCATGGCACTGGCAGTTGGTGGCATTTTGCGAGTGGGGCCTAGAAAACACAATAGAAACATGTTGTGCTCATTTCCGGAGTAAGGGAACTGAGAATTAGCAGTTAGGCCATCTGGCCCATGGACACTCAAATTCAGAGCTGTTTTCTTACAAGACGTATCGTAATCTGTAGTCAGAGCAACATTAAAGGTAAAGGGACCCCTGACCATCAGGTCCAGTCGCGGACAACTCTGGGGTTGCGGCGCTCATCTCGCTTTATTGGCCGAGGGAGCTGGCATACAGCTTCTGGGTCATGTGGCCAGCATGACTAAGCCGCTTCTGGCGAACCAGAGCAGTGCACGGAAACACCATTTACCTTCCCGCTGGAGTGGTACCTATTTATCTACTTGCACTTTGACGTGCTTTCGAACTGCTAGGTTGGCAGGAGCAGGAGCAATGGGAGCTCAACCCGTCGCGGATTTGAACTTCCGACCTTCTGATCGGCAAGCCCTAGGCTCAGTGCTTTAACCCACAGCGCCACCTGCATCCCATTTAATAGGGTACAACATTGTACCCTATTAAAAAGAAGAAAAATAAATAATTAGGTATCTGGGCAATCCAACTTTGGTGCCACAAAAAGCTGGAATTTGTGGTATAAAAGATGCAGATTCAGCATGTTAACATAGCAGACAATCTTATTTTGTCTAATTTAGTCACTTTTTTTTTGTTCTGCATCATCTTTTCTGAACATATATGTAAGAGCATAAGAGGACCAAAGGCCCATCTAGTCCAGGTCTATCTAATCTAATTCTCACAGTGGCCAGTCTATGTGAAGCCCACAAGCCGGACGTAAGCATGATAGCACTCCCCTGGTCATGAACCCTACTATTCAATGCCATTCTGCCTCCTATACTGGAGGAAATATACAGCCAACATATATACTGGCTTCTCTTCCATTTCTGGCTTTGCTAGATATTGAAGGGGGAAGAAACTCCACCCTCAACTGCTAAAATATGCAGCATGATCACTATTCCTGTTTATTTATTTTATGCATTTATATACCACCCTTCAGCCAGATGGTTTGTAGGGTTGTCTACAGCAGAACAACAACAGAAACAATCTAAAATCTGAATCAAAATCAAGAAGAAGAAAAAGCATCCCAATAAAAACAATTCTACAGCATGTAGTCAGACGTGAGTCTCACTAAGCTCAAAAAGCAGAATCAGCCTCATATAACTAGCAGCTCTAGTTAATGCATGAAGGGGTTAAGAACATTGAGTAAACTGGTTTCCTAGACTTAGCTAAAAGGAGGCATTTTTAAGCCTATATTTCCACGCTTTACTTTCCTGCATGTTTTGTGATTTTAATCTCTGCTGGTTTTTTTTAATAAATTTTTATTAGTTTTCCATACACAAAATACACAACAAAAAATACACAATACACAAACATACAGACATATAAACATGTATAACTTCATAATCTTATTTTCATACACCTTACTTCCCGGACTTCCCCATACCTCCCCTTTTCTGCATCCTTGTTTTATATTTCTTCAGCAACTCCTCAATTAACTAATTATTCAATTCAATTTCTTTTAAGTTCTTCTTTAACTTATTAATTACAGCTGCAATTCTCTATTTCCCAACTCCTTGACATTTTAACACTCCTCAATTTTACAACAATTTTTAAGATATATTTTAAATTTCTTCCAATCTTCTTCCGCTGTCTCTTTCCCCTGGTCACGGATTCTGCCAGTCATCTCCGCCAGTCCCATGTAGTCAATCACCTTCGTCTGCCATTCTTCCAGCGTGGGTAGTTCTTGTGTCTTCCAATACTTTGCTAAAAGAATCCTTGCTGCTGTAGTAGCATACATAAAAAACGTCCTATCCTTCCTTCTCACCAATTGGCCGACCATGCCCAGGAGAAAAGCCTCAGGTTTTTTAGGAAAGGTCCATTTAAGGACCTTCTTAATTTCGTTATAGATCATTTCCCAAAAGGCTTTTATCTTCGGGCAGGTCCACCAAAGGTGGTAAAAGGTACCTTCAGTCTCATTACATTTCCAGCATTTATTGTTGGGCAAATGATAAATTTTTGCAAGCTTGACTGGGGTCATGTACCACCTGTAAATCATTTTCATAATATTTTCTCTTAAGGCATTACATGCCGTAAATTTAACACCGGTGGTCCATAACTGTTCCCAGTCAGCAAACATAATTTCATGACCAATGTCTTGTGCCCATTTAATCATAGCTGATTTCACCGTTTCATCCTGTGTATTCCATTTCAACAGCAAGTTATACATTCTCGACAAATTCTTAGTATTGGGTTCTAGCAGTTCTGTTTCTAGTTTTGACCTCTCCATCTGGAAGCCTATTTTCCTGTCCTGCTTAAATACTTCGTTTATCTGAAGATAGTGGAGCCATTCTCGTACTTTAGATTTAAGTTTCTCATAGCTCTGTAGCTTAACTTTTCACCATCTTGCTCTAAGATATCACAGTATTTTGGCCATTTAGACCCCATGTTAAGTTTTTTCACTTCCTTGGCTTCCATTGGTGACAACCACCTGGGAGTTTTACTTTCTAATAGATCTTTATAACGCATCCATACATTATACAGTGCTTTCCTAACAATATGGTTTTTGAAACCTTTATGAATTTTTACCTTGTCATACCATATATATGCATGCCAACCGAATCTATTGTCGAACCCTTCCAAATCTAATATATCCGTGTTCTCAAGAAGTAGCCAATCTTTCAACCAGCAGAAAGCTGCCGATTCATAATACAGTTTTAAGTCCGGCAGGGCAAACCCCCCTCTATCTTTTGCATCAGTTAGTATCTTAAATTTTATTCTGGGCTTTTTGCCCTGCCAGACAAACTTAGATATATCTTTCTGCCACTTCTTGAAACAGTCCATCTTGTCTACAATCTGCAATGTCTGAAACAAAAATAACATTCTTGGCAATACATTCATCTTGATGACAGCAATTTGGCCTAACAAGGAAAGTCGCAACCTTGACCATATTTCTAGATCTTTCTTTACTTCTGTCCAGCATTTGTCATAATTGTCTTTAAATAAGTTCACATTCTTAGATGTTAAGTTTATTCCCAGGTATCTCCTGGGGTTTTCTCACCAAGAGAGAATTTGCCCCCAAACCTGGATCTAGTCATTCAGGGAATTCTCCTTTTTTCTTTTACTAAACTGTTAAATAACCCACAAAAGTGAGTCAGTTTAGGAATGGAGACCTTTTTGAGTGCCCCTTTGACTTCTGAGATTTCAGTGCACATTGCTCATCTACTTTCAACTCTGCCTTTCCAGACATAAGGACTAAAAACTTGGTTTGAAGGGCTGCCAGAGGACAACCCTTTATTTGAAGGGTTTCTCTCTTTGGTCTAAGTCCAGTTTAAAGATAAACAATGACAAGAAGGGGGAAACCACTGACAGTTAGCATGTGGGGAGCAAACTGAGCCAGTGCATGGGTCACTTGGTTACATAGTATAGTTACATATATACAGATATATTATCAACCTTTTTTAAAAAAAGATGACAGAATGGATTGTGGAAACTATCAAGGCATCTTTTTATTAGCAAAATTCTTGCAAGGGCCTTAACAAACCATCTCCTAACTATATTCAAGGCTACCCTTCCTGAATCTCTAAATGGTTTTTGACCTTCTAGGAGGACAGTGGGCATGATTTTCACTGCTAGACAGGTTCAAGAAAAATGTAGAGACCAAAACCAACCCCTGTATATGGCATTTATTGACCTGACCAAGGACTTCAGCACTGTAAATCATAATGCCCTGTGGACTCTCCTTCTCCTCAAGAACAGTCTGGCCCTTTCAGAGTACAGTAAGTCCCCTGCCCCTCCAGAGAGAACCCACTTCTCCTTTCCAGGCTCACATCATCTCTACATTCTCTTCACTCTTTCTCTTTGTGTGGTGGTCTATATTAGTCTCTATGGTTGTCTTTCTCTTCATTTTCTGTTCCTCCTCACCCCAGCCAGCTGTTGAAGAGTTTAAGAAAGGGCCCACAGGGTCTGCGGAGCTGGATCATTCCTCAGACCATGCAAAGTTAGGCCATATCTAAGGGCTGAACTTGATTCACATAACAGTTGAGTGTAAACACCAGCATTTCCTCTTCCAGACTTGGGTCACCAGGGCAAATCATCTGAAAACTTTGTCATAGTCTTGGATAGATGTTTAAACCATTTTTGCCCAGCAATTCAGGGTGTTATCACACATCCATCCGGATTAGGAATACAGATAAAGGTTTTTTAAAAAAAGTAAAGGACCTCTGGATGGTTAAGGCCAGTCAAAGGTGACTATGGGTTTGTGGTGCTCATCTCGCTTTCAGGTCAAGGAAGCTGGCGTTTGTCCACAGACAGCTTTCCAGGCCACGTGCCAGCATGACTAAACCGCTACTGGCGCAATGGGACACCGTGACGGAAACCAGAGCGCATGGAAACACCATTTACCTTCCCGCTACAGCAGTACCTATTTATCTACTTGCACTGGCATACTTTCGAATTGCTAGGTTGGCAGGAGCTGGGACAGAGCAATGGGAGCTCACCCCATCACGGGGATTTGAACCGCCAACCTTCTGATTGGCAAGCTCAAGAGGCTCAGTGGTTTAGACCACAGCACCACCCACATCCCTATTAGGAATACAGCAGTGATACAGGGAGATGGTATCTGGCCCTTCGGCATTTATCATTTTGGGTTGCATTTATATGTGAAATCAATTTACTTTGCTTCGAAGATACAGATAATGAAGTTTCCCAAAACAGCAAATTTCCATTCATAATGCACAGCACCAAAGGCCAAAGAAATGAAATAAATATATAAAAAGTACATGCTAGAACTTTCAGAAAACCAGGTTGGTATAGAATATTCCATTATTATTTTTCGCACAATTATATTTTCAGCAGCTAGCACTCTTTAAAGTGCAATTTTTCTGAGAAGTGATTATGTTAAAGTGGTACTCATTTATTCAACAGACACATTTCCTGAGTGCAGTTATTTCTATGTATCTGCATTAATGCTCAAAAATATTTTTCTTT